TAAGTACCCCAAGTTTGCATCTTTGATCTCTGTTAGCCATATGTGTACTTCTATTCTAATCTTCTAGGCAAGATAACTGATATGTTGCTTGATGAATTTAATTGTATTTTCAACAATCGTTTCATGTTATGGCCTATATTCTTCCCATGGCCCCTTCGAATCTTATTCACTTTTTTGATTCTTTTTGTTTTTTTTAATGTATAAGATTTGCATATGGTGTATTGAGGAGATTCTTGCCTGAGGAAAAGGTTGAGTCAGTGAAGGGTCTGACACTCACTGCTGATGGAAATGGTGCTGTGTTTGATGTGGCTGTAGAAGATTTGGATACATTTCTTTCTGGTAATTTTCTTTTAATTGCAATAACTTGTCTTTATATATGAGTGTCAGGTAAATAGTGGTTTCATTTATGTTGCTTGCAACAACCTGCTTCAAAACAATGCTGTAAATTTAAGTTCCATCGTTCAGTACTTATCCAGCATTTGATTTCTAATTTTGGGTTTACATTGTTTTCTCATTTTCTCATTATCGGGGACTCCGAATACCCGCGGGGACCTATTATTCCTCGTGGGGATGGGGACGGAGGCAATTTTTGACCCTCCGCCAAAAATCCCCGCGGGGATCCCCGTACCCGCCATTGACGGGGATGGGGATGGGGAGGGGGTCCCCGCCCCCGTGGGGACCCGTTGCCATCCTTAGCAGAGGTAGAGGAAGATGAGATGGAGGCAGGAGTGGAGGGAGCTGAAGTGGATGAGAGCCAACCAGTTCCAGAAGTAGAGATTCATCCAGTTCCTTTTGACGATGAGCAGCCTCCTCTGCCAGACAAGCAGTAGCCAACACAGCCACCTCCTCCAGCTGAGTAGGAGCCCATGCAGTCACCTCTCCAGCAGAGAACTTTTGTTTTTTAAGTTTTGTAAAACATTGAAACAATTTGTAATTCTTCCTTGAATGAAAATTCATTTTTTAAAATCATGTGTTTGTTTGTGTTTGCTTTACATTTTTGTTATTATTTTTTATTAATAAAAGAACTGAGATTATTTGAGACGTGATTTGAAAGAAACTTAACCACTTCATAAGTGGACCAAAGGGAAGTAAATCACTTTAGACGGATTAAGAAGAAGTAAATGACTTCAGATAAATTAAGAACAAGTACATCACTGCAAATGAATTAAAAGGAAGTAAAGCACTTCATATGTGAAGTGACATTTATTAATCAGAAGTGAGGTTCAAGGAATGAATAGACTGATTGACCTTGGATACATAGAATAAGAGGTAAAATGAATCTCGACAAGCATGAAATAAGAACTGTAAGACATAATCTCTTGAAAGAATTCTATTAGGGGTAAAATTTCTTCAAGTTATTGACATTCCAGACTCTAGGAACTCTCTTTCCTTCAGCGTCTTGGAGGACATAGGCACCAGGATGTGGCACCTTGGCCACGGTATAAGGGCCTTCCCAATTCGGGGCGAGTTTGCCAAAACGAGTTTCAAACCCTGTTAGGCCAGCTTTTCTGAGAACAAGGTCTCATACTTTGAAAGCTTGAGGGCGGACCCGTTTATTGTAGAAGTTGGCTAGCTTCTGCTTGTAAACAAGAGTTCGAAGCCGAGCTTCTTCTCTAACTTCAGCAAGCAGATCAAGGTTTTCCCCAAGCAGTTGTCCATTTCGCCCTTCATCGAAATGGGTGACCCGGAAGCTTGGGACTCCTATTTCAACAGGAATGACTACTTCGGTACCAAAGGCTAGGTGGTAGGGTGTTTCACCTATTTTAGTTAATTATAACTTTAGAATGCGCTTTATGCATTATGCATATTTGCTCTAAGGATTCAAACATCGCAGAAGAGGAAGTGAAAAAGATCTCTTATAGAGGACCCCATCAACGTGTATACCGAGATGCTTTCTTCCTCAACTTCATCGCCTCTTGTCTGTCCTCAGGTACTATTCCATTTCGCAAAAAGGAGATAATTGAGTCAGTCCAGCTCGGTGTGTCAAGGTTTGTGCTAATCTCCATCATCCGAGGCTTCATGAAGCTTGGTTCATCTAAAATCTCTACAAAAATGGATCTGGAACTCAAAGAGCTGTCAGAGGCAAACTTGGAGAGTGAATCTGCCTGTTCATTCTCAGCTCGGGGGATTTTACTCAGACAGAATTTCTGGAATCTGCACTTCAGCTCGGCCACCAAGGCTACGTACTTTACCATCACAGGATCAACAACTTCACAGATTGAGTTGATTTGGTTTACCACCAACTGGGAATCGCTGTATACTTGAATTACACTGATTTGCAACTGCAATGCTAGCTGTAGACCAAGTAGCAGAGTTTCATACTCAGCCATGTTATTTGTTGCATCAAAATTGAACTTCAGAGCATGTTCGCTTCGGTATCCCTCTGGACCAAGTAAGAGAGCGCCAGCCCCTGAACCCTTGCTACTAGATGCTCCATCAACATATAAGGTCTAGTCGTTGGGCTCTGGATTAGAGTTTGAAGGACATGGGGTGCATTCGACAATAAAATCTGTTAATGCTTGAGCTCAGATGGCCGATCTTTGCTGAAATGTTATCTCAAACTCTCCCAACTCTACTGCCCACTTAATTAATCTTCTAGAGCACTTTAGTTTCTGCAGAATCTGCCTGAGAGGTTGGTCGGTGAGAACGATAATTGGGTGTGACTGGAAATATGGCCTCAACTTCCTGGCCGAAGTGACGACTGCTAATGCTGCCTTCTCAGCTATAGGATATCTCAGCTCTGCTCCGTACAGCACACTACTGATATAATAAATTGGTTTCTGCTGCTTAGCTTCTTCTCTCACCAGAACTGAACTAATGGCCTCATCTAAAATCCCAGGTACAAGTAAAGAAGCTCTCCATCTACAGCTTTAGTCAGCAGAGGCGGTGAGTTAAGATAAGACTTCAGTTCTTCAAATGCAGCT